CAAGTATAACGGAGTTTTCGCCCGCTCCGGGAATACACTTTGGAGCTCCCGATACGCAGAGACGCCAAAACGTCGTTAAGCATTGCGGCCGGGATTCGTTAATGAACTACGTGAAATTAATTAGAGTCGCACGTCAACAGCGCCCGAGACAATGCCGACTCTCAAAGTGCGACGCGTTGTTGTGTACGCGAGCCAACGCGCGGAAGTTACAGCTCCGATTCCAGATTATCGATAATGCCAGACCCTCGGGGCCGTGCGTATCTAACTATCACGATTCGAGCCATCCTGGCACTGGCTAGTGAAGTTCTATAGAATGTCCGACGTGACCGAAGTACTTCCATTCACGTCTAAACGCGAGTACGACGAACTTCGCGACGTATTCCGAGGAAACCGTATGAAGAAAATCGAACGATTATTATTCACATATCCATAAGATATTCTTGAATCGGACAAGAGCAGAAAAAGTAACATTAAATATATGTAAAATATATATAAAAATAAAGCATGAATATATTTGTTGCTTTGTTTAATTCGAGATCACCGCTCTATAATAATTTAATTTCGTTGATTTTTATATGATACTTTTGGTACTAAAAATTAAAAGGCCTAATGGTCGAAACTGGATCTTTATTGTTTAAATAATTCAATCTTGAATTACTATATATACCATATATATATATATATATATATTTGTATATATATATCATGTTGTAGTCTTTCGAATTGCGCGCCGAATTCTTTTTCCAGACTATAAATGCAATAAAACTACTCTAGTTATCGCGAATTAAATTGACAAACAATTTTAATGATTTAATGCTACAATCAGGCATCGTATTATAAAGATGTTAATATGTTGAAAAACTATAGGCTTTTTAATTTCGTTATAGATCTTTTAATTTCTAGTGCTGATTGTGCTCTCACATATGCGGTCTAAAATAAGGATTTTTAATATTGATACTTTTGATATCAATTGTCTAAATTAAACTTTTCATTTTAACTACATAACCGAGAGATTTTATGTAAAATATAACATTCTATTTTTTTTTTAATATTACAACATCTTCATATCTAGCATTATATTCTTATTATATTTTGATACAAGTAAGATAAAATAAGTTGAATAGACTGACCTATATCCTACAACATTTTATATTCTAAAAGATATATCAACAGAATCGACACCGTATATATATCGTAATTTTATGGACAATCGAGACAATGTGTGATCTAATATTAAATAATTTTCTTGAAAATTTCATTCTAATTGTCAAATCGATAAACGAAATTAATAATTATTATTTAATAATATATCAACAATATATTTTATATATATATATATATATATATATAAAATATACACATATACTCAAGCTGAAACAGCGATTTATGGAGACAACTTAATTTTCATAATTATACGTGACATATCTATCCCATCGATTTGGCGTTTCATTCATTACGCCGTGATTAATAAATGGCGATTCCCTGCGGGTCGGGTTTCTTGCCCCTGCTCCGTTCGGATGTAGTTTAGCAGACACTCCAGGAAGCCAGGCAGTAATGTGCTCTTGACGATACATACATTATCGGATAATGTCGAATATTCCCATCGGCCCGAACGCGGATTTTCGCACTGTGCGTCCGCTCTCGTAACAACCGCGTCTAGCGGAAAGGGCTTTTAGTAGTGTAACATTTTGACAAGTATTATGCAACTCGCAGTTACAGCACCGCAGGGAGTTTCTGATGCTACTCCCTGAAAGATCAATATTTCCCTTTCGTAGGAAAGAAAAAAAAAATCGTACAGAAACGTCAATTCTTCTTTTACAGTAATATTTTGTTAGCTATACAAATCATATTATATTTTGTTCTTTTGTTTTTATGACAATTTAAAACTATTTTAAACAGCATGACTTTTTATCAATCGGGATTAATATAATTTCATTTATATTCTGAGCACCAATGTCAACATTTTCTTCGCAAAATTAGATATTTTCTTATATAATTCTTAGTTTCGTCATATAATAGTTTTCATTAACATCTCTAATTATCACTATGATTATTTGTGCATTTATTTTTATAATCACTATAATTAAATTTCTATTTCACGTGTGTTTTTTAATACACAAATTCAAATACCTACTTGTGTATATTTTTGCATTCTTTCCAAAGCATTAATCCCACTTTCTCTCTCAAAATAAATGTAGGTAAATAAATTACAAATAAAAAGCCCTTTTAACGTATGTGAAATCATAATACCCCATATTTATTTTGATATTTATAGCAACATTGTCATGCAACGTGCGCGATAGATTAATGTTCCTCGTGGCGCCGTTCGAGGGTGTTCGCGTGTTCTTCGCAACTTGCTTTTCACCGCCATTCGTTTAGTTAAACGTGGCAAGTAGACATCGCCCTTCGATAGTCTTAACGCGGTGTTTGTAGAAGAGAGACGTAAATGTAAAGTGGATGTTTGAGCCGGGATCGACTGAATCGGTATAGCTTAATTGGCAATTAGCATACCGCCAATGAAAATATCTGGAGTCGACAGGTGTGGCTGCTTAATTCAATCGGCGCGTCTCGAAAGCTCCGATCTTCGCCACTACAACCATCACCATCACCACCACCACCAACACCTCCAGCAATGTCGACGCTACCGTCGCTTTCAACCTACTATCACAATCAGATGTGACTCTGAGCTCGGACGAATCCAATCCGTTTGGGAAAGGTACTAGTTCTTTATTTGTTCCTTTCTCTTCTCTTTCTCGCTTTTCTCCCTTTCTTTTGCTTTCTCGTCTTCCTTCTTTGTCCTGGCCCTCGCGGTTCTTATGACTGTGCTCCTCTCGCGAGAATCTCTCCCAAGGGAAAGATTCGCTATCGAGGGGTGTAGTTATCGGTTCCCCGGGGCGTATCGACCTTTTAACCTGGCGTCCCTTCTCGCATTCGCGCCATCATCGGCGCCAGCTCAACGTCTCATTCTTAACAAACTCGAAAGCGACACGTAACTCTCGAAAGTGTTGGTAGAAAATTGACTCGATTGCGCGATCTCACCGTGTGATGTATTGAAATACATTTTTAATGTATTATTTGAAGAATCACGTCATCGTTTCGGATATTTTTTTTAGTATCAATAGTGTTAGCCGATACAAATGCAAAACTAATTGGCGTAAACAAGTGGCAATTTCGAGGAAAGATTGCCGCAAACAAGAGTACCTTAACTATTCTGCATACTGGAGAATTCCTATCAGACACACAATAGATTTTTCCTTGGTAAAATATTCCTGACAAGTATCCTCTTATAAACGTGTGAATAGTTAGCGATATTCGAATTACTGCTTTGAATGCTATAATTCCTTGGCTTTCAATAAAAAATTTTTACTAATTATTTGCATTAATATTTTAAGTTGGAATTTTATTTTTTTAAATGCAAAAATAATAATTTATTAATCATTTAACTCATATGATTTCTGATGATTTAATTGAAAGGCTTTTTAATGTGTACAGAATCTCTACAGTCGTATCTGTACGCATTTACGAGAAAATACAATCGGACAAAGTCCCTAAGCTTTATAAATGAAAGTTTGAAACAACGAAAATTGAACCAGACAACGCGTTATCGCGTTATCTTTCCACCCGGTCTTTTTTAAACTCCTAAAGTCAGCGACGGCGATTAATTACCGAGGACCCGACTGGAGGATAATAAGCAGCTTAGTCGTTAATTACATGCTTCCGCGCGCCATGGGAATTACGTGCGAATCGAATCGCGTTAAAACAACGTATTAGCAAATAAGTCCTGATTAATCAAAGAGAATGGTAGTCAAAAGAAAGTTCGCGTCTCTGAGATTAGGCGTGCGCGCGAGTCCGGCCATACTGTTCAGTATTTCACAAAAGTGCCGGAATAAAAATGGAAGTGACGAGCCGCGAAAGAAAGCGGGAAAAAGCGGCTTTTGTGCCGGGGGACAAAAGATACGGGATATACCCGTAGTATAAGTCACGGCAGGGAGGGGGATAAGGAGCAGCTACTTCTAGGTCGAGGATCCGCGCAACTCGCCGTTATACTTCTTATTTTTCTTCCTTACCGTCGTGTGCTTCAGCTGTCTTCTCCGACCCTTGTACCAGGTTATCACCGCGGGTGGCCTTGAACCTGTGGTCTCGCACTCCATGTCGTATCGCTTCCCCGCCAGGAGAGACTCATTGCCGATTCCTTTCCTACCCGGTCTTCTTATGATCACAGACAGAGGTTTCACTAAACAAAAATGACAAACTTTAAAGACGCTGTCTATTATAGTTGTATGTTCGTGCTACGTTTGAGTATTGAATTGTCACATCGGATTTTTCCAGTATCTATACTACTACGATAAAATCTGAGCAAATATTTTAATACAATAAAATTAAAATATAATATAATATTATAATTAATATAATATAATATGCGCGAAAAATAAAGCACAGCGCCGATATAAGTATTCTCAAATTATCAATATTTAATCAAGAACCAATTTAATCAATTATTTGAAAAATTTGAAATATGAATTAATTATTATTCCATGTGTAATATTAACATGAATATTATACATAATTTTTTAATTTCTTTGAGCAATTTATTTCAGCAATTTATTTCTTAATAAAAGCTTTTCTCTTTTTGTGAAATTCTCTAATAAATATTTTGCAAGTCTTCAAATAAATTTGGAACACTATAATGTAAGGAGGACATGTATAAGAACTGTTCTGATCAGATTTAAAGCTTTCTAATAATAATAAGTATTATAATAATGTAACAAAAAACTTGATAGTTTTTATTTCTAATTAAAGATAGCTTTGAGGAATTAAAAATAACCGATAAAAATATGTGTGAGAGCTCTAGATAGTCTCGTGTCAAATCGCTGAAAAGAGATCTCGCGTTATGAAATGATAAATGGCCGACCTGCAGCCACTTTTCACTTCTGGATGAAGCTTCGGTATTTCGCGTCATATTGATCGCAACGTGGAAACAATTACGTAAGTTAAACAAATATTTTCCACGTTGTTCGAGTGGACGCGTTTAATGAACATTTATTCGGCAAATATTTTTCCACAAAGGATTAATATTTAGTCATATAAATATGTCACGCAGTATCGTCTCCTCTGGCAATCGAATATTCAATCATCGCCAATCATTACTTCTGATCTATTATTAATCATTTGCTCTTCTCGTCAAGTCTTGCATGTGCGCGCGTACGTTGAAAAACTACATCGTCCTAAATTTTACTCCCGAAGTGACGATCGTTCTGACGGCCAATAAATCTAGGTTTCCAATTCGTTGGTGTCGACTAGATACGATTCGTTCGTTCGTGAAATATGAAAACTGTGAACAGAGATTTCCATACGCTGTTTGCGATGCACTTACTCCGATAATAGTGGCACGTATTCATTATTCATTATCTTTATGTTACCATCCTTATTACTAGTAAATTGTTTACATATTGACGCTACGTTTATATATGAATGCTGAATATTTATTGCTCCATTTACGTAATTGAGTAATTTATTTTAATGAAACGGAGTGCTAGTGTTTTTGTAGAAATAAATATTTCATATAAAAATCGGACCATTTTATTAGAGATATCCAATTATATATACGCGCGCGCGCGCATGTGTATGTGTGTGTGTGTGTGTGTTTGTGTCTATAAACGTGTAAAACTTGCGTTCAAATTCAAACGTTTGTATAAAAATATGAATTCATAAATTTATAAAGTAACGATATTATAAAAGAGGGAAATAAATATAATACAAAATGTAACGCGGTAAAACATGAACAAACACGATATTATTTGAAGCAATAATCTTACCCTGATAATGTTGGCTAAGTTAAATCAATTTTAAAGTTAACAATTTTAAGCACTTTGATGCGTCCGTCGATGCAGCAATCTCTCGCGATTGATGCACGCTGCCCCAAAGCGTTAAGTGCAAGAGGATACGCTGTTTGTTCGAAACACGGTTTTTCGTTTTTATTGCATGGAAGATAAAAATAAAACGACGAAATAAATACGCAATGGGCGCGTGGGCACTTCGCCGAAGTAACGAAAATCAAAGAGCGTGTTTATCATTTAGGCTAGACTTCGGCTCGTTCCTCTTCCTTCATCAAAATTTCCTCTCTGATCGTTTCAATCTGCTATTTTTTATTCATCGCTATGATGGAGTCGCTTTTCGCTCGATAACCGGCCTGCAATTTCGTTAGTAGCTTCGACGACGTGATTTTTGAAGAACCTAATTATTGAACATGTATCGATCACCGTATCTTCTTGACTTCGACATTCTCTCATGAAAAAGTAAAATTTCTTGCTTCCATAATATACACACAAAAAAGAGCAAGACAGATGAAATCCTTATGAGAACGTCGGTGATGGATAACGGTAATCGAATCACCAACTGACAATCGAATCATCGACCGATAGCGATTGAAGAAAAGGGTCGCGTGGAAAGTAGTAACGTCGGTTCAAGCAACACAAAAATCCCCATCGTATCATGCGACCCCCCCGAATAAGGCACGACGCGAGATAAGATTCTATTCACCAATTTTTCGGTTTAATACGAAAGTTATAGGACCGTCACCTTATCCCTATTCTACACCTCACCCTTAACCCACTCTAGGCGGGTTAACGAAGAATTCTAATTTCGGAGGAGCCTAGGGGAGCCTAGAGGATAGTCTCGCTTTTCATGTTTCTTCTCGCTCCTTCTCGGGACGAGCGACACTGGGTGGATTTAATATATTTCTCGTCTTATCTCGCCTTATCTTCCCTTAAAGGTGACTCACCCAGCGGCGAGAGAGCAAAGGATGTTGGCCCACTTTTGGTGTCTCGTAGATTTTATCTTTAACGCGCGACAAGATAGGCTCAGGGGTGAGGCCTTTGATTTGTTAGCTGCGTGATAAGAATTTATATTTCTCATCTTTGCTTTCATTAATCTTCCGTTTCTTTTAATAAAAGTATTTGGTTATTACAGAGAGAAACGTGACTTTCTGCTATAAAAATCTATTTTCCATGACTATTTTTGTCCTCGTTTTGTGAATAAGAATTCTATTTTATTTAAATGATACAATGAAAGATATTCAGATTCACTTACAGTTGAGATCCAGAGAAATCGATGCCTCTTTTGAATCCACCAAGTCCGTGTTGCGCGCTTCGCAGGTAAAATTTGAGCCAAGGTCAGAGCGGCTGATGGGCTGCAGCGTTAATCTGTCAGTGTATCACAGGAAATTAAATAGATGTATAAAACTAAGTAAACGAGGGCAAGATTTTCCTTATAATTCCCTCTGATATTTGCGGGAAAATATTAGAAAATCAAAGAAATTATCGTACCTATTCTCGATTACGTCTCCAGCATTATTTTCGTATTCCTCATCTTTCACCCGGCCGTTTATGAGCCATCTAACCATTGGTTGCGGCTTACCTGTAACAAAAAGTAACATTAACTTTATTTGAGGTTTTACACAATGAAAAGACTTTACTAAAACTTAATACGTGATTCCTTCAATAGTACTAAATAAATATTTACTTACAGTAAATAAACTTTAAAAATAATAGTGAAATAAAATTAATGGTTTTCACACCAAATAAACGTATGTTACATTTAGAAAATATTTACTTAGAACTATTCAAAGAAATATTTACTAAAATTTAGTTTTTGTTTAATGTATTGCGTTATCTGACAAAATATTCAATCTAGTTCGTGGCAAACAATTTCGCTAGCCAGCACATCCTCTGCAGTTATCCTCTAAATTAATTACCCCTGCAAAAGTTCTCTGCATGTAATAGCTATTCCTTGTAATTATCATTTAGAACCGAAAAACGAGCGAGGAATGTTGCAGCGATGTGCGCTCGCGGCAAGCGTTCGTCAGAGAACAGGAAAGATCGTATACACGGTGCAACGAGTTTTGCCGGGGCTACTAAGCGATAGACGAGTTGCCGAGAACTTTTAAATTAGCCAATACCTCTGCTCTTATCCTTTCAATGTCGGTGTGCCAAACAAAAACTAGGAGACTTCTCGAGACCGCGCGTTCGATAACTGCAAGTTATAGATTACTCCGCGCACCATCATAGACGAGGGCCAATAAATACGAATTAAAGGTTCGGGATATGCGGCGGGAACGATCAAAGTGATTGAAAAATTAAAAACGAGATTACACAGCTGACTCGTGAGATCCGTACTCTCTCGAGAACAAAATGAAGTGTGTGCGAAAGTAAACACGGTTATACAGTTCGTTCATGCGTCCTCTTACTACGAAATTATTTTTCAACTTTTCGCCTATTATCATTTTAAAACGGTCGATCAATAAGCTTTATTTCCTACAAATAGAGAGAAGAATTAATGGCATTTCAGCCGCGTTTTATCTCGTAAAATAATATCTATTGATAAAGAACAAAGAGAAAAAGAGAGTAACGGACAAATAGAGAGCGAGAGACGCAGAGAGTAAAAAAGATTGATGCACGAGAATATTAAATTTTTACATCAAATTCATTAAATCTTTTAAACGAGAGACATGTGCTGTATATAATTATCTTCTGACGATGCTGAAATATTAATGGTCATTCTAGTGCGTACTGTACATCAGATTAGACTACCTTTAACTTTACTTTTATCTTAAATAATAAAAGTGCTGATTTGACGCTCGGAGATATTGGTATTTTATCGTGATATTAGCTTTATCTTTGCGAGTTACGTCGCGCCAATATTTGTGCCTGGCTGGGGTTGTGGAATACGGACCGATGCGACGAACGAGGTGATCAAGGGAAAACCATGTAACGAGAGTAACCATGGCTTATGCCGGATACGAACGGAGGTAATTCCTCTTACGGGAAATAGTGTCAGGGCCCTGCGCAATCTCGCTTCGTTTCATACCTATTAAAAATATGTTTTCATCAGTCTTTCTCCTCTCTCTTTCTCTCTCTTTCTCTTAGAAATGAATTTCACAGATAATCATACAAGCTGCTATGAGAATGTAATTTTAAACCAAGCGTCGAAAAAAATCTCGCACATAAACATATAAAAATTATTAAAAGTGCTAGCAATAACTTTACTAATTAATAATAAGAGACATACACGCAACACTTTTTATTTAATCTTATATGTTTAAAAGAAGCAATTTATGTCGAATAACATAATTTTCTTGGATATTTTTTTGATTACACAATTCTTTAAAACGATATGCATAGTAAATTATGTAATAACATTTAGTTAGAAATAAAAATAACGAAGAAAATAGTGAAAATTCGGAGTTATGAGTCGTTGAAGCAAAATTCTTTTTTTTAAATTTTTTTATTTTTTTATTTAAGTAAACATTGGCCATGTTTAAACCCAGCAATATAAAAAAGATCGTTTCAAGTACATCGTCTATCATCTGCATTTTTAGCAAACCGCGGAAATTCGTGTAGCAGCAGTATTGGTAAAGTGACGGCCATGAAAGGTTCGAATTTTCCCAACTGTGAAAAATGGGTTTTATTTTGTTTATGAAAACCGTTATACGTGTTTCCCATTAATCCATTCAATACCATTGGACCACATATGTCCCAAGAAATATTTGAAAAATTCCATTGGAATTACAAATTCTATCAAGTATGAAAAAAATGCAATAAACAAAGATTCGTTTTATCGTATACATATCTCAATTTCAAAAAAACAATCTCAATTTAATTTGTTTGATTGCACAATAAATCTCTCTCTGGAATGTACTTCAGATTTAATATCGACATTTGATTATTTTTTTTAATAGTATAATTTTTTATTTCGTATAGAATAAAATATCGTTGTAGAAAATTTTTGATCTACATCGCAGTGTTACAGTGATCAGACAAAAATTGCCGGAAAAATGGACGAGAACAATTCCTCGAGTCTCAGAAAAAATGTGCTATCCAAATGCCATCGTTTCATTGTTATTCAAGGTAGCGTGCGGCGCCGGAAACGCAATTTAATCAGGTCCAATGCAACATCGACACGACACTTAAAATTGGAACCTGATCTTCAGCCGGAAAACACGGCGCACATATCCGACGTGGAAACCGGCCTTCCCCCTAGATTAGTTCCATATCATTGTTATTCACGATACCCACCAATCCTGATTGCGTTTTAACCGTCTCGTTGCTTCTAAATCTCATCGTTCTCGTCCCTTCCGTTCCTCTTTCTTACGCGCCGTCTAGCGAACGCTATATTGCCGTCTCTCGAAATTAATTCCATTATATTTATTAGGTTTTACTTGAATCGCGACGAAAATGTCATAAATTTGAAAGAGAAAAGAACTGTCTTCTCTGTCTTCATTTTTTAAATTTACGAATATCTCTCATATCTATCTCTCGTATCTTAAAAATCTTAATTAATTCCCATGAAATCATCTCAAGCTTGTTGAAAATTTTCAAATAAAAATGTGAAAGCGAACGTTTTGATGTATCAACAGCTCTTTAGTTTAAAGAATTAATTGGTCGACAAATTTTGTCCAAATGCCAGTATATTCCACATCGGATAACAATAACTAATTTGAAAATAAAATATTGCTAGACGGTTTTGGGAGAGAGAAAAATTTCAAATACAGTTTTGCATGACAATATTTATTTTCGGATCGATTTCAAATGACGAGTTTCTTTCTTGTACACGAAAGTTTTGCTATTGAGAATTTAGACCGACAGTATAGCTTCCGCCCGAAAAGCCGCAGTTCTTCATTCGCACAAAAAATACAACTGTTCAAAACTGTCTTGCGCTCAAAACTATCTCCGAACTTTTCCGCAAATTTATAGCAACACTTGGAGATATTTTCGTACAAACGAGTATTTTATTACAAAAGGATGACGTACAAGGGGAGCGAACTGCATTTTCCGCAAGTATCTGTTTACGCGTTTTGTTCTACGCCGCGTAATAATAGCGTAGTAGCACGTGCGAGAGAGTCTTCAGTTTCATCGCCGCTAATTATACAAATCGCGCAATCTCGCCGCTTAAGAAAACTCTCGGAAGAAGAAGAAAAAAAATGGAGGAAAAAGAAAGGGGAAAAGAGGAAAAAGGAACAAACAGTTCCGTTCGTCCGTGGACTGCTGTACGCTTAATTCGACGGTGAGCATTTTTCAGGGAGCAGACGGCGCGTTATAACGACGGCGGTTCCACTTAATTCGTAAGCTCAGCCGCTCGTTTGCATGAGTACTTAGAGACGAGCGAGAGGTCGGTCGTCGACCGTGGTAGTTGAACGGAATAACAGTGATGGTTGCGGGGGTAAGATCTCCGGCGCGCCCCTGGCGTTGACTTTAACCGCGTACGGACTATATTCGAACCCCGCAACTTCTAACCCTTTCCCTCCCTTCTCTGATACGACACCGGGGGCGACGCAAGGCAAGGCGATGCGATGCGATGCGACGCGACGCGCACCTTCAACCTCGTTTCTCGAATTCGACGACATCCGGTGCTATCTGCACCACACGGACCGACGAGACCGAAGGAGGACACTAAAGTGAGGATTTTAATCCGCGGATACCGGACGATATCTTCCGGGATTAAGACCAGGTCCGCAAGCGCGCCCCAGTCGGCATCTAACAAGTTTACCGTCGGTTCGAACTTCGCTTAAAGCAAATACCTACTACGTCGGGGACTCGGTGAATCCTCTTGGCAGACTCAGCTCCTTTACCCCTCCACATCTCACGTTTCATCATGATTTAGAAGACTACATGTTCGATTAAAGCCGATCTTAATATTCTTTTTGCGTGGCATTTTTGCGGCGATTTTAGTAGATGTCTTTTTTTGTGAATATTACACGGACAGAATTGCTTTTTAAAATTTATCCTGAAAATATGGTAGTTGTGATACAATACAATATTTTAAAGATTTTTGCCATGCACTTCAATAAAATTGATCGAACTTATTATATATTTTATTAATGTTAGTTTTATTAATGAATGAGAGAATTTACATAAAATTCTTCGAAATACAATGTTGTCCCAGGATTATCAGTATTTTCAGGGTAAATTCTAAGAAAAATTTTTTCCATGTAGATATCAAAAAAGCAATGGTAACCCAATTTCTTGAGTTAAATAACGTTTTGTTAGTTTAACATGCGTCATTGCGTGTCGAAACGTAAATTCATTTCTGTAATTAATTTTAAAATAAATAACGTTCATATTAACGTTTACATTTAATAAATAATAAACTAAATTTGAGTCAAATTTAACATTTTATTGAGTTAAATTGTTTAACTCCACTTTTAATTAAATTAATGACACATTGAGGAACAATAGCAACCTATAGAAATGATTAAAAAAACTCAAATTGAGTGTAATTTCACGGAAAGAAAGATTTGTTAAAACAACTAAAAACTTCATTGATTTAGCAAATTTACATCTGTGTATCTACGGACAATCATTTTTTTTTATGTTAAATTAACAAAGTTATATAGCTGAATAAAAGCGATAGAAAATAAT